CCCGGGTGCCTCTTCCGTGTAAGGCCTGCCGCTCTTTCCCGTTGACGTGGCTCATACTTCCATTTTAATGGTGTGTATTTCTGATGACCAGTGAGCCTGTGGAGGGCAGACAAGCATCTCCTCCTCCTCCCCGCCCACCCCTTCTTCCCAGTCCCAGGACGTAGAGCAGAGGCACATTGAATGGAGTGTTGCTTAACAAATGTCTGATAGAACTGAGTTGAGTTCTGGGAATTGAGAGCATGAACAATAATCTAGAGGTAATCACGTCTTTCATTTGTTCTGTAATAGTCTTAGCTTTTTATTCCTGAAAATTATGACCATAGGGCAGCTGTTTATATTTCCAAGTTCTACTTCCAACCCAGTGTCAAAACCTAAAGTCTCGATTTGGAAACTTTGTCTTTTCAACCAGGGAGAGGTTTACCTCCCTGCTCTGTACTAGCGCTGTCCGACAGAACTTTCCTGCCACTGCCGCCTGTGGTTACTGAGCACTTGAAATGTGTCTAGTGTAACCAAGGAGTTGAATTTATTTTATTTGATTTTAACTGATTGGAATTCAAATAGCCCCACGTGGCTAGTGGCTACCATATTAGAAAGCACAAGATGTACATGTTATAGAAGGTACCAACTATTGAAAAAATATTTTTATAAAATTTAGAGACATATTTTGATTCTTTTTATGAGCACATTAGAGGCTGTCAGGCTGAATACTATATTTCACGTGACTAAATGCCTGCGTCATTAATAAGGTCAAATGTGGACATCAGTTTCTTTAAGACTTGTACTAATCCATAAGTAACCCACCCATCACTGTTCATGAATGTCCCAAAGCTTGGTGATGTCTGTCTTGGGGCCCCATGTGTGTAGGCATTTATCCAAACGGAAGTGTGGCCTCTTACTCAGCACCCGGAAGTTTGCATATTAGTGACATGCAGGCCATGCTCGCTGAAGTCATCACATTTGAACAAACTCAAACTGGGATGCAGACTGTACTATGCTAATTCTGTTTTCTTTTTCAGAAGGTCAGCGCACCAGATATTCTGAATCCTCTTAATCAAGAGAGTCCCAAATGCCCTACTAGCCCTGTTTTGAAGCAAGAGGATATCTCGTCCAGTCCAGCACCCAACACTTCATTCTCAGGAGGCTTGAGACACGTGAGTCTTGTCTGATATCCTTGACACGCGACATGTGGTTGTTGCCATGACATCAGATTGGATTGTTAGGCAACACGAGTGCCGTGTTGTCTTGTGGGATAAACTGGAGCGTAATATAGAGTGCAGAGGTGATATTTTACTTAGATTGAGAGCTGGGAAAAGCCTTGCTGTACTCTCACAGTGGTTTTTTCTTTTTACATCTTATTGTGAACATTTTCATTCATACAGAGAGTAATTAATCATAAGTAGTGGTGTCTTTGGATGAGAAGTGTTTAGTTTTGATGAAGTCTGATTCGTCACATTTTTCTTTCATGGTTACTTCTCTGTCTTATCTACCCATAAGTCATGAAGATATTCTCCTATGTTTTCTTCTAGAAGCTTTATAAAAGTCTAGCTTTTATGTGTGGTCCATGCTCCAGCTCATTCCTTTTTGTGAATGGTGTAAGGTACAGACTGAGGTTCATTTTTCCCCATATGGTTATTCCAGCACCATTTATTATTTATTTTATTTATTTTGGCCACGTCTCGTGGCATGTGGGATCTTAGTTCCCCAACCAGGGATCGAACCTGCACCCCCTGCAGTGGAAGTGCAGAGTCTTAACCACTGGACCACCAGCACCATTTAAAAAAAAAAAAAAAGGACTCTCATTTTTCCATTGACTTTGGTGTCTTTGTTAAAAATCAAATGACCATATAAGTGTGGATATTTTCCTAGGTTCTCTATCGTGCTCCAATGATCTCTTTGTCCTTATGCCAAGGCCACACTGACATGATTACTGTAGCTTTGTAGGAAGTCTTAAAGTTGAGTAAAGTCCTCCAACTTTGCTCTTCTTTTTTTTTTTGAGATTGCTTTGTGGTGTTTTAAATATAGTGTCTGTTCATAGGCAGGCCTTTTTATTACTTTATTCATTATTCAAAAACATTGAATGTTTACTCTGTGCCTAAACATGTGATATGTGCTTGATATGTTAGATGGGGCCTTGGGTGAGGGGCCATGAGGCTTCAGTTACAGTCATGGATCTTTAACTTATTCAGCGATCTTAAACAATCGTAAAGACTCCCTAAACTTCAGAGTCCTCATCAAGGAGATGGTATCAAAGTTGTTCTTTTTTTTTTTTGGCAATACCGCACAGCATGTGGGATCTTAATTCCCCAACCAGGGATCGAACCCACGCCCCCTGCATTAGAAGCACGGAGCCTTAACTACTGGACCGCCAGGGAAGTCTGAAGGGTTGTTCTTTTCATTTCACTGGATTGCTTTGGGAATCAAATGAATGCTCATATTCCGTGGCGAGATACCGTGGTTAAGAACTCAGCTTCTGGAAACCAACGTCTTGGTTCACCTTCCAGCTCCTTTAGCGGCAAGGAGTGTGGTCCAGAGCTATAGTACTTTAACCTTTCTGTTCCTTGGGGTTGTTGCGTTTTAGTGGAGCATGGTGTGCACGTCAGACAAACTTCCCCAATCCCCACGAATGTCCAGTCGAATATTCAGAAGGCATGGCAGAAGCAGGCTAGACCTTGAAGAATAGCTAACGTACTTGATTCAATCCACTGAATGCCAGCAGCTCCAGCCCATCTGTTGGCTCCAACCACTGTCTCCTGTGGGTGGTCCTGCCTCCATGAAGACCCCTGCTCTGCACACTCACTACTCAAAATGTGGGACCCAGCAGTGCTGGCACCACCTGGGCGCTTGTCAGAAACCAGAATCTCCAGCCTTACCCCAGGCCTGCTGGAGTCCGAATCTACAATTTAACAAGAGCCCTAGGAGATTCATATGCACGGTGAGGTTTCAGAAACACACAGGTTGAGCCCTGGCAATTTCAAACCCGAGTAAAGTATGGTGTTTGTTAAGGATTCTTGAACAGTCTAGGGCTGTGCTGTCCAAGGCAGTAGCTGTTCAGTTCACACAGCTCCTCTTGTGGGCCCTTCCCAACTCGTGCTGAGGGCAGCCTCCTGTCCTGGTCGCACAGCGGTCCTAGCAGAGCCAGATGGAGTTACCGCTTCTTGGATGCCCTAAGGTCATGAGAGTCTGGGGTGGTCCTGCCAGGGTATCTTGGAGCGCTGGTGTTGGAGGATGACTCAGCACCTTCCTCGGTGTTTATAGTGGAGAATAGTTGAGAAAGGTGAAAGCGCTGAGGAAATGCTTCCCCGAGGGGGAGGTAAGCAAGGGCAGCTCCAGAACCTTCTCTCCTAGGGTTGAACCCCATGGTGGGTACAGGCAGGTGAAGCATAGGAGTGGCCTCTGGGAGCTTTTCTGAGATCCATGGGAAGGTTTGCTTCCACCCCAGGTAGCATACGGACTCCAAAGACTCCAGCTAGCTTGAGCCTTTATAAGGCTGATCCGGGAGGATGAGGCTAAACCCTCCTTCCCAGGGAGCCCAAACTGTCCACGGTCCGCTAGACTGGCCTCTAAGCTCCTTCAAGGCCCAGAAACCAGTGCAGTGGCAGGGACAGGGCTAGGATCCACCCATGGTGCTCCACGGGGCCCTGCACGAGCTGCTCACCATCCACACCTGTCCCCTTGCTCATTCCACTCAGCGGCACTGGTCCTAGAACAGCCAGACTCACGCCTGCCCCAGGCATTCCTGGGGTGGTTCCCT